AAAAAAAAAAAAAACAAACAAACAAACAATAAAGGGCCCAAGTGACAAGAAGTTGTGGACTTAGCCATTTTCAATCAAATGCTCTAATCTCCTTATCATTTTCAGATTGAAATGGCTGCCAACACTCCAATCAACATGATCTATGCTAGGGAACACTGGATCCCGATCAAGGAGAACAACTCACAACTGGACCCAGAAGTTTTCTCCTGTCAAGATGACGTGGTCGTCTCCATTTTGAAAGGCCACAAGCTGTGGAAGGCACTGAGCGAAAACGCCGAAGTCCCTCAGGTGTATCTCCAACAATTCTGGGGAACACTTGACAAGGACGTAGATGAGAATGGCAGGCAACTCGATGATGTACTAGCTGCCACAATCTGCAACACCAGAGTCACAATCACAAAGGAGCTGATTCAACAAGTGCTACAGATCCCGGAGGAGGAACATTATGATGCGTTGGCCTCAGAAGCGCAAATCTTTGAGGACATGATCACACTAGGCCACGCTGAACCTCTCCGACTGATGTCCGCAATTAAGACAGCACGATTTCCACGACCATGGAGGACTCTTATGGCCACGCTGAACAAGTGCTGCACATCTAAGCACAGCGGCTTCGACAAGTGCAGTGGCTACCTCGTCTACATCTTTCACGGCATTGCTTTCATGAAGAACTACGACTTCACCTCACTAATCTGGGGTGACATTCTGGAAATGCGAAGAAGAAAATTTGAAACTGATCTGATCAAGCATCTACCATATATGAGATGGTTCTCACTGCTGGTGCGACACTTCTGCAGAACAATTCCAACGATTCAACGGCGCAAATCATCTGAGAATGTCAGCACTCCAGCCCTACAATATCTGAAGAGGATGCCAGAGGTACGCACATTGGTACCATTACCTATTCCTGTCCCTCTCCTCCTGTTAGCCGGTCGAAATGATCCATACGTTATACGCTACAGCGAGGAGAATGGTGTCATACTCCCTATGGCTCAGATAAACCCCCCTGAGCCTACCCCGGGGAGTCAGCCGAGAGTGAGTGAGGGTCCTGAGAGTTCAACCCGGCCACAGAAACCAGTGGCAAGCCGGCCCCATGATGATCAGACTATGTCTGCTGAGGGCCACACCCGTGCTGAGGAGTTTACCCGTGATTCGCCAAGCGTAGCCACAACACAAGACGCTGACGATGAGGGCTCTGGGAGCAAGGCTAGGAACGACGACGATGATGATGATGAGGACGACGACAATGCCAATGCAAAGGGCAAGAAAGTCGAGAAAGCCCGCGCTAAGAAAGGACGACTCGTTATCAGGCTTTCTCGGGCTACAACACAAGAGCAGTCTCACCAAATCAAGGACACTCAAGGAAATATCATCAGTGAGACTCGCTCCAAGGTGCGTCATGACAATGCCTCATCATCTACTCCTGTGCAAAGAGTGCAAACCGTGAGCAACCTGGCAGAAGAGTTAGCTTTATATGACAGCTGCTCTGACCTTGACACAATAAACCGGGCTAACCCCATAGGTGCAGAGGCTGATATTTTCAGTCTCCGAGTAGAAGACGCAGCATCTAGCCCAACTGCGCTGATAATTTATTTTCATGCTCTGATACCAATTGTTGGTCCCTATTTCTACTCTATAATGTATAAGATCTGATTAATAGGAGTAGAAGAAGCTTTCCATTGATAGCCAGAAAGTTTACATAAAGATGAAGAATATGTAGCGTAAAACTTCTGTAGGCTCTATTCTATGCGCAGGGAATATTTCTGAGTGAGGAAAGCTTAACCTAGCCATTCCTAAGGGGTCTATTTATAGCCTCCTTAGAATGGTAGGTTTTACAATGATATGGGCTCTCCTTTTTAGGAGGCCCATTCCTAATTTAGCTTAGTAGCCTTTTCCATTTAAGGCCTATTAAATACACAATAAATACTACCAAGAGGCTAGATAAAATACATTGATCACAACACTAAAAATATCTCTAACAAAAGTGCATCTAACTAACACAAAGTGCATCACGCTTCGAAATAAAATAATAAGTATAAAAATTGATTTATAACCTTTTATCTTTTTGTTATTTGTTTTCTTGCGTCCATTCTTGTTGTTGGGTTTGACAGTTTGTTTGAGTTTTTTGCCTCTCTTTATGTCATTGGGTATGGTTGGATCTATGGGAATAGTTTTGGCTGTGTCAAGCCCACTACATGGTTAGCGATTCGTGTTGCTCTCCCAGGGGTGACCGTCTCAAAGTCTCACCATAGGGTTACAGTCGTAGTTGTTGGAGTTTCAGTTGGTGTCTGTTTTATTTTCCCTTTGCTTGATGTAATGATCCTGATGAATCTTTTGATATGAATAGAAGCATGTTTTGATGATAAAAAAAAACCTTTTTAATGATGTAAATGGCACATCTACGTATCATATATAGTGGTGGACTCGGGCCGGGGCCGGGCCGGGCCAAGGCCTGGTCGGGCCTCGGGTCTAGTATAGGTTTGCCCGGGACCGGCCCGGGCTATGGCCGGTTCCGGTTCAGGCGGGCCACCCGGCCGGGTCACGGGTCGGGCCACCCGCCGGGCCGGGCCGGTTCATTATATTTTTTTTTAAATAATTATATATTATACAAATTCCTATTAAAAACAAAGTTCAAAGTGCATTTATTTGAAATAGGAACTACATTTGAGAATTGAGAAAAAAATAACAATACGAAATACATTTTCTTATAAATATCAATTGGGATTTCCGCCACCTTTGGTTGTTGTTTTCCCTTTGTCACAGGACTTCATATGTTTTATTGGCATCCCGTATCCGTGTGAACGCCCCAAACAACACTCTTTCTTGCACCACTTGCAAGTTGCCCACCACAGTCCGGTCTTCGGGTCCTTCCACTTATCAAAATTGTTTTGCATAAGGGGAGATGTACTTTCCATCTTTAAAATGGTATATGTATAAGTAGGAATGTAGGATAATAAGAGAAGATGAAGATGGAGAAGAGTTGGAGAAGAGGTGTAGAAAAATGTTAGAAAATAGATGTATTTATAGATGTTTTTGAACCCCACTCCCCACACCACCACCCCCGGGACCCCCCTGCCCCCCACCCAAAGCCCCAACGGCTATATAGCCGTTTGGGAGGTTTTGTTTGCAAAAAAAATCATTTTTTTTAAAGTTATACATATTGTAAAATAAGTTAATTAATTTAATGAATTAAGTAAAGCTATTTGTACTTGGAAAAGTGGTTTGATTTATAATTTGCAAATGTTACAAAATAGGTGTATAAGTATTTAAACAAATTACATATTCTAAATGTATTTTTAATTTAAAAACCGGCTTTAGATCTTAGAAAAATAATTTTTAGTCGTAAGTTTGTAACCAATTAATTAATTTGAGAAGTGCTACATATGAAAAAATGAACGCATATTTATTTGAAATATGAAGTACAAGTTTACAATTTCGAAATATGAAGTACAAGTATAAATTAATTTTACAAGTGCTAAAAAATACATTTTATAATAAATTCTAAAATACTAATCAATCGGAATCTCCGGCATAGGTAGAGCCACTATCGGTTGTTGAGTCATCCATAAAATCTTGGGAGGGGGTGATGCTCATTTCTTGAGTTCTGCGTGCGGCCTTCAACCAATCGTGGTAGCATATTAGCGTCTCAAGAGACTCCGCGCTCAATCTCGATCTAGATGCCTGATTGTATTAATTCTAGAGAGAAGTGAGAGTTAGAGAGATAAAGTGATATGTATAATGAATTCCAATCAACCATCCAATCTTTTACATGGCTCCCATAGGGAGTATTTATAGGAGAAAAGAGGGCTGGGCTTCTAGGCTTGGGCCTGGCTGGCCCAGTTACAATAAAAGTCCAATAAATGGCTAATAAATGGTATCTAATCTATTCTAATGAGTACATATGAATAAATATAGTGTACAAGGAAATAAATGCTATCTACTGAGCATATGTGGGCCGCTGTCCGGGCCGCTGTCTGGGCCCAATAATCGTGATACCCGGGGGTCCGAGTCTATATACTCTATCAATGCCGTTAGGACGTTGCCGGCCGAACAAAATTCTTGTTCCACAACAACTGTTGAAACTGGCATTGATAGTACTTGCTTAGCCATCCGTGCTAAAATCGGGAACGTTCTTTCTTTTGACTTCAACCAGTTTAGAACATCAAAGTCATCATTTTCTTCAAAATCAACTTCATATGTTAAATACAAAGTAATCTCATTCAATGCGCTTTGTTCAGTGACGTGAGTTGTTTTAGTTTTTTTCATAAGATTGCCAAATGCAGATTTAAAAATCGATTTTCCTTTAGATGAAGATGTTCGTGACGGGGGAGGGGGAGCGTTGCTATATTGTGCACAAAACTCATTAAATAAGACATAAAATAAAGCACTAACCTCGTTGTATTCGGTTTTCGGATCTATGGGGTTATCATCACACATTGGAAAATTCACCAAAAAACGCAAGATAATAGAAGTTGAAACAATCTTCCAAATTAGCAAGTCTAAAACGAGGATCGAGAACAAATGCAATACCATAAATATGGGGAATATGCGCATAATATTTTAAAAACTTTTCCTTCATATAATCACAAAAATAACTCACGAAAACGGCATTCTCAAATTCTTTGAAAGCACCGGCGAGATTAACAGCTTCACGAATAAATTGGTTTGCGGTAGGTTTATAAACATGACTAAAAGTTTCAGTTGCATTAACAAAAATATCAAAACATTACAAATTTTTTCGCAAGTGTCGATCTCAGCCGAGTTTATAATATAGTTATCATGTTGTTTTAAAAAAGCAGGAAAATGTTCTTTATATCTAAGAACAACTTTAAGTAATTTATAAGTACTATTCCAACGAATACTCAAATCTTTAGGAAAAGCAACATATTTCACACCTCTTTCAGTCAAATAAGTTTGTCATTTTAATCTAAGTTGACCATTACCCCAAATACATCTAATCCCCCCTTCACTACCTCCATAGCATCTCCTAACGCTTTTAGACTGTCTTGCACACATAAATTTATAACATGGCATGCACAGCGTTGATAAAAAAATCTATCCATCAAAGTATTGGCACCACACAATTCACGCAATCTAGGTATAGCAGCAGTATTACTAGTAGCATTATCGAAACCAATAGCAAACACCTTATCAATCAAATTATACTCAATTAAAATACGCTCAATCAAAATATAAATATGTTCAGCGGTGTGACGATCATTAAATTCACGAAAAGCAAGAACACGTTTATGCATATTCCAATCCTCATCAATATAATGTGCAGTCAGATCCAAATAATATAAATGATGAAAATCATCCTCCCATATGTCAGAACAAATAGTAACACGCCCATCAAAGTTTGCAAAAAAATTTTGTAACCTTGCCTTTTCCGCATTATAAAGCCTTATAATTTCTTTCTTAACAGTTTTGCGACTATAATTTCTAAATTGAGGATTTAAACTACCTTGTGCATAATCTCTTAAAGCAAGACTTTCAGAAAACATATAAGGCAAATTTTCTTCACAAATTAAGTTAGTCATACCAGTCAAATTTTGTGCATCATTGTAGGAGAAATTACCAAAAGGTTGAGAATTCGCAAATCTCGATATTTGAGTTTGCTTCCCCGTTCCGCCGCCTAATTTTGCATACTCCACGGGGTGCATTGTCTTAAGATGCCTTGCGGCGGATCCGTATGCGCCGGAGGTCCCCAAACTATAATTGTTGTTGCACCACTTGCAAGTTGCGTGCCAATAGCCGGTTTGTGGGTCCTTCCACTTATCAAAATTATTTTGCATTAGTTCAGATTTACTTTTTTTATTACCGGTGGCGGTTTGGGATGAGGCAGGCTCGTTGGCGTCGTGGCTGCCGGCACCCTCCTCCTCGGCTGTCTCCGGTTCCATTTCCTCCGCATCTTCATCCTCAAGCTCCTCTTCGTCAATGGTCGTCGGGATTTGTTGTTGTTGTAGAAAGCGGTTATTATGTCGGGTCAATTCTTGTTCTACTTGTTCTTCGGACATCGCATCTCCATCTCGCCTTTGGTAACCCGTTTCAAAATCATCTCGGCTTTGAGATGAAGAGCCGGCAAGTTCTTTACCTTTGCGGGATTTCTTCCTCCCAATCTCGTTCCTTCGATTGCGTTGGAGGTTATTACCCAAATCAACCGAATATCTACCACCTTCCATCTTAAAAATGTAACAAATATTAATTCGCAACAAATATAATAATGAATACAAAACTAATGCAACTAATTAAAACTATTTTAATTAATACTTCAAACTAATTTAATGCAAAGTAGAATTAATGTGTGACTCTAAAATTAAAATTATAGCAACTTTTCAAGTACTTTAATTTAGTAAAAACTACTTAAATAAAATGTTAAGTACTTTAATTAAATGATTGAACTACTATTTTTTCGTTAAAATATAAATTGAAAATATTATAATGTGACTTTAACTATAATGACAATTAACTATTTTTTTGAAGTAGAGTTGTTTTAGCAATTAATGGGAATACTAATGAACTAATTAACTAGTATAATGAAAAATGTAACAAGAATGCTAATGAACTAATTAACTAGTTTAATGAAAAATGTAAAAAGAATACTAATGAACTAATTAACTAGTATAATGAAAAATGTAACAATTCAAGAATACTAATTAACTAATTAACTACTATAATGAAAAATGTAACAAGAATGCTAATGAACTAATTAACTAGTATAATGAAAAATATAACAAAAATACTAATTAACTAATTAACTAGTATAATGAAAAATGTAACAAGAATACTAATTAACTAATTAACTAGTATAATGAAAAATGTAACTTTTTTTTTTTCAGGAATTATTTTATATTTCATATTGAAATAAAGGATTACAAGGTAGGGGGACTATAGCCAATACCTACCCGAATTAACAACATACGGATAACTAATTGCATCAAACTTGACAATGCCTACAAACTTATTATGATTGTTCGGGCTGTTTTGAAATGTGCCAAGATATTTAGCAATGAAACTAGCCGCTCGATTACATGGTTTTTTAACGCGAGTAAAGCTAAGATTGGTATTGTGAAACTCTTCCTTAAAAGCTTCCAAGTTGGTTATCTCTTTCCATCTCGGTCTAGCCATTCCTTTAAGAGTCCGAAAAACCTGCAAGTTATCACATTCAATTATAATATTAGTGTGATTTCTTTCGTTGAGATACTTTCTAAGATTGATCAGACTATCACAAGTATTGGCAGTAATATTATCATGATAATAGATGTTCGAGAGGTAATGTAAAGGGTGACCATGGTCATCACGAATGCATGATAAGACCCATGGCGGTCCCACCATCCCTCAAATTGGTTGAAGCAATGTTAATTTTAATAAAATCAGCTGGGGGTTTGACCCAACTGGCATTCTGGGTTTTGACCTTTTTAGCTTTCACCTTTGGGTTGACCAGCTTAATGTCATTTAGAGGAGGGCTAGAAATCTAACAACATTATAATCTCCAATCATGGTTAATACCCTTGATTTATGTCCACCCTTACGGCGTCAAAGTTTTTTCTTTCGCTATATCCTGGGCAAATTAATCCCACCGCAGTCAATTAAATTCAATTTCTTCAAACCTTCTCCCTCCCTTGCTGTGTCGTCTCCCTTTCTTCAGAGCACGCAACTAGCTGAAATTAATTCCAATCGTCACAGCCTCTTATTTGTACAAACATCTGATCTTAAAAAAAAATACGAGTAGTATATCTAGAAGCTCTTAAACTTGGCAACTGCATTTTCTTTCCGTCTTTGAAGTTGTGGCAGGCTGGTAGCATTATTACTAAGTAATAATGGCATTACTTAGTAACCTTGTGCAAGTAACAAGGTGCTAATAACATTGTGCCAAGCAATTGTACTAATTATGCATTTATGCACAAGATGTACTAATATTGAAATAAATTCCTAGGGGCGGAGTCAGGGCACTGGGCCGGACTGGACCAATACAAAAAATATTCTTGGAAAAAAATTTACACGGATTTTTTTACACTAAAAATTTAGACATTTTTAAAATTTGTGCTGGGTCAGGTCCAGTGTTGGCCCTCCCCTAGCTCCGTCCCTGATCCTTCCACGAGTTATAAACCAAATTTGTATTGAGTTTATGTCTGAGCATGACGTGATGTGAGGGAGAATTAGGTCTTGGGACATGAATGTTATCTTGACTCATTTATTTCTAATATGAGTTATTTCCTTTCAAAAAAAATTAATTCCTCACACACCAAGCATTCCAGCCCAGCTGGTTGTGAGGTTGATTACCGTGCCTAGTGGGAGGTCTCAAGTTCAAAACCCGCTAAGCACAAAAAGGTTTGAAATTCAATGAAGTAAGTTTCAGCCTGATTGCTTCAGGCCCCCCTAGACCCTCTGGAGCAAAAAAAAAAGATTCCTCTCAATGAGAAATGATATTGATAATAAGATGTGAATAAGAAATAGAGAAATTGCCAAAATATACATGAAATAAGACAGTAGTATGAAATAAACTATTTAAAAAAATGCCCCATGAAATAACATTGACCCTATAATTTATTAACAAATAGGATAGATATTTCATAAACTATTTAATAAAACTCATAACAATCTCACATATAATAATTATTTATAAGGAAAAACATTAGTTTAAATTGGGCACAAGCTCTCGCGCCTTGCGCGAGTATCTGCTAGTAGTAGTAATAATCGGGAAGGCCACGCTAGCATCCCGAAGCTCCTTATTGATGTACTCAATAGCCTCAGAAATATGGAAAACTTTCTCGTCATAAAGATAAAAATTTCTCCGCTTCCAAATGGTCCAGCATATATAAATTGCAACCTGAGTTTTAAGATTTTGAAAGTCATCATGGGCAGAAAACCAACAATTTAAAACATTATTAGTTGAGTCTGAAGTATTGAATGTGACTTTCAGGAGGTTTCCATAATGAGACCATAGTTTAGAGCTAAACTCACAAGAGATATAACAATGATTTTGGGTATCAAAATCGTTACAGAAAGGACATTTAGAGCCCGTTTGGAGAACTTTGTTTTCGGCTTATCAGGCTTATCAGCCAGCTTTTTCACCAAACACGTAACTTTTACTTTCGCGCGCTGAATTGTGTAATAAGCCGAAAAAGTAAGGTTGGAGTTACTTTTCTGGCTGTATTGGCTGAAGTTACTGTAGAGGACCATTTTAGCTATTTTTACATATAATTTTTTCTTTAATTTATTAATAAAATATATTTTTAAAATATTTTTTTCTTAAATCAGCAGAATCAGCCAAAACAGCCACTCCAGCCAGAATATCATAAATTTCAGCAGAATCAGCCAAAACAGCCGATTTTGGTGCTACCAAACGGGCTCTTAAAGGGGCCATGCTTACCAAAACGTAAGAATTGTTCCTGAAACGGTTGCAATTTATTTATAACCTTCCACATGAAAAAGGAGATTTTAGTCGGGATATTCCTATTCCAGATTTTACCGGTGAGGATATCAGTGGGTCTTTTAGGTCTGATTTCCTCATAGGCACTCTTGAAAGAGTAGGAGCCATCGGGATTCAGGATCCAAACAACAGTATCACAATGCCTAGAGAAATGGTGAGCCGTACTCAAGACCGTGTTGACAATGTATTCCGGAATGATATTCTTAATATCATGAAAGAAAGTGGGATGAGAAAATGCTTCCCTTATGGTCATTTGCGGATGTAAGGCCTCCTCAGTGTTCAAATAATCCACCAACCTGTCGAATTCAGTCCAATTAGAATTCCAAAAGGAGCTATGACCATTACAAACCACTAAAGTAGTGAGACTATCAAAGGTATGTTTAACCAATTGCAAACCTTTCCAAATGTAGGAACTGGAGGGGTTTTTAAGTTTAGAAAACCATAAACCCCAAAGACCAATTTGATTGGTAATTTTCCACCAACATTTGAGGTAAAAGCAGCTTTGGATAGTGAAAAGGTCTCTAAAACCCAACCCGTTTTCATTGATAGGATAAGTCATTTTTTTCCAATTTCTCCAAATCTGCCTTTTCTCAAAATCCGAGTTATACCAGAGGAACCTAGAACATTTTTGCTCTATTTTTTTGCAAAATAGTTTTCGGGATAATAGCACTGGCCATGTGATAAAGAGGGAGGGCCGTAATAACCGTATTGATCAGGGTAATACGACCCCCAGGGGTTAAAAACTTATTTTTCCAACCAGCCAGCCGTTGATCAATTTTAGAAATGATATTTTCAAAGTGACGGATTTTAGTTCTACCTTGAAAGATGTTGGCTCCAAGGTAAGTAAAGGGGAAGGAACCCTTTTTTGTCACGCCCCAGACCGCATCCGAGCGCGTGTACAACCGCCGTATGACTAAATGACGTCACTCGCAAGTCA